GCGCTGCAAAAAACACCAACACACACACACACACACACACACACACACACACACAGAGAGAGTGAGCCCGGGACATCAGCCTGCAGTAGAAAGGCGTTTGTACAGCGTTACTCATCCTCTAGTGAGCTGCAGCTATTTCAGTTCATCACACACACACACACACACGGATTATAATAACACTTCATACATCATGCTAAACACAGTAAAATTTCACATCTTTCAGGTCAGGCCAGTAATTCATCATGTGATCTATAAGTGTGGCATAATGGGAACAGACACACATACACACACTCTCTTTCTCACACTCACAGAGACACACACACACACACACACACACACTCTCTCTCACACACACAGAGACACACACACTCTCTCTCTCTCTCTCTCACACACACACAAACACACAAACACACATACACATACTAATAGAAGGCCCAGACAATAGGAGGACAGAGTGAAGGTTCTCGCACGCACGCACGCGCGCGCGCACACACACACACACACACACACACACACACACACACACACACACTTCAGGTGGATGCACCTATGTTACAAGCTCTCAAACCTGCATTTAAAATTCTGCATAAATGTGGAATAATTTTATCAGTATCATTTTAGTACTATTTTAGTTAAACTAAATGCAAAAGTTAAACTAAATGCAAATGAGAAATTTCACCTTGGCAACTCGCTGAAATAAAATATGTTTTTTACATTTTACTTTTTTAAATAAAATGTTTTCTATATTTTACTTTTTTTGTTTTTTTTTAACTTCCTGCTTCAAAAACGAATGCTGAGCAACGGACTGTAATGTATAGAGGAATGAAAATATGGAATGATTTGCCATGATTGGACATTACATATTTTTTAATAAGTAAAATCTTTAAATGAATATTTAATGGCACAGTATACAGCAAATTGTTGATTTGGATGTTTTGAATGAATTTTGGGTTTGTATGTTTTATTGAATTTACTTTTTTGAAATGTAGTTTTGTATTTTCTTACATGCTTTTTAATGTATTTCTTTATTTGGATCCAAACAAACAAATATTTTTCAGTTAACGTTTATTTGAAGCAAAATAACATAACTAAATCTCAGCAAGACATATTTCTCAATAATGTACTTTATATGGAGATTGCGTGCTCTTATGCACGAGCTTGTATTGCAGCTCAAGTGTCTGTCGTGTGAGTGTGAGAGTAAGCAGAGACTCACGGAGCGGAGGTTCGAGCGGGTGACCCGTCCTGGAGCACCAGCCCACGGGATGAAGATCCGGCAGGTCTGAATCCACCCAGAAGTCAAACTTCTCATGCCAGCCGTCGAAATGCACCTGAGCAACAATAAACCAAACCACAATAACAGACCAGCATTCATTCGGATCATTCACATACAGTTTCTCTTAGTCTAAAAATGAACCAATAAATGAATTATTTGGTAACACTTTATTTTAAGGTGTCCTTGTTACACGTTACATGTACTTACTAATATAATAACAATAAATTATGCATAATTACATAAAAGTAACAACCCTATATAGCAAGTACATGTAGTTAAATAATATTACTCAGTACTACACTGTAACAAGGACACCTTAAAATAAAGTGTAACCAATTATTTTCTTCACAGACAGAACTATATACACTGTCATTCAAAAGATTTGGGTTCAGGAAGATTTAAATTTTGAAAGAGGCGAATACTTTTATTCCTCAAGGACGCATAAAATTGATCAAAAGTAACAGTGAAGACATTTAGAATGTTACAAAGATTTGTTTCAGATAAATGCTGTTCGAACTTGTGTTTGTTTGAACATTCGGTAACACTTTACATTATTTGTTACCGTTAGTTAATGTATTAACTAACACGAATGAACAATACATTTATTACACAATTTGTAAATCTTTGTTAATGTTAGTTAATAAAAACACAGTCGTTCATTGTTTGTTCATGTTAGTTCACAGTGCATTAACTAATGTTAACAAACACAACTTGTGATTTTAATAATGCATTAGTAAATGCTGAAATGAACAAACTAAGACGAACAAATGCTGTAGAAGTATTGTTCATTCTTAGTTCGTGTTAACTAATGCAGTTAACTAATGTTAAGTAATGAACCTTATTGTAAAGTGTTACTGAATTTCTGTTCATCTGTGAATCCTGAAAAATAAAATGCATCACAGTTTCCACAGAAATATTGTGCAGCACAACTGTTTTCAACATTGATAATAATCAGAAATGTTTCTTGAGCAGCAAATCAGCATATTAGAATGATTTCTGAAGATCATGTGACACTGAAGACTGGAGGAATGATGCTGAAAATACAGCTGCGCATCACAGAAATACATTACAGTTTAACAGAGATTCACATAGAGAACAGCTGTTTTAAATCATAAAAATATTTCACATTTTTACTGTATTTTTGAACACATAAATTGAGCTTTGGTTAGCAAAAACATTTAAAAAAATCTTAATTATTCCAAACTTTTGAAAAGTACAGTAGGTGTACAGCTCTGCTCATGGATATCTAGTGAAAACTCAAAAACAGTCTGACATGAGCTCATGTGACTGAAATAAAGACTAGAAATGATTTGGAAGATGGATCATTTAAAATAAGGGTAAACGTAGGGCTGGACGATATGGTAAAAATGTATATCACGATATATTTCTTAATTTCGGTCGATGCGATATAATTCCGATGTCGATATGAACATTATTTATCTGAAATAGAAATCTGTTGTAACATTATAAATGCCTTTATCATCACTTTCGATCAATTTTAAGCATCCTTGCTAAATAAAAGTATTAAATTCTATCATTTCTTTCCCAAAAAAATAATAAAAATGATACTGAATGGAATAGTGTATAATGTTACAAAAGCTTTTTATTTCAGATAAATGCTGATCTTTGGATCTTTCTATTCATCAAAGAATCCTGAAAAAAATGTACTCAACTGTTTTAAATATTAATAATCAGCAAATCAGCATATTATAATGATTTCTGAAGATCATGTGACACTGAAGACTGGAGTAATGATGCTGAAACAAATGTGCTTCAGCCAGAAAAAAGGGTATGAAAAGTGCTCCGAGTCGCTGCAGAAAACAAAAAAATTGAACAACAAAAACTGAAACTGTTGCTGGAGACGGGGCTTATTATTGAAAATGCAAACTGATTCTCTGCCAGCAGGAGGCGCTTTTAGAGCGGTAGAACTAGCGGTTTCCCGGTAACGGCTGTAAACAAAGCAGCTCCGCTCATGAACGCTACTTTATCAGATCAAATGAAAACGCCACGAAACTATTCTGAAGACAGTCAATTCCCTTCAGAGATACATTCATATAAAACACCCGCGCCGCGTTTTGATTTTGAAACGTGCATTGCTCATGTTTATTCAACGAAGTCAAACGCCACAAATAAATCAATGTATGGCAAACACTGGAAATGCATATCGAAATATCGGAAATGTGTTTAAAAATCATATCACCGTTATTGAAAAAAATAATCTCGCGATACATATTGATATTGAATTATTGTCCAGCCCTATGTAAACGTAAACAATAAATCATCAGTCCATTTGATCTTGCATGAAAACCATCGAGTCTAATGTTGTTTATCAGGAATTTTTACAAAGACTGCGGATGATTTAATCAGTCAAGCTGTGACTAGAAGCCGGACTCTTCCTCACTTTGACTCTGTGGTCTTCGGTGTCGGAGACGGTGGCCACGCGGATCAGCATGGGGTTTCGTCTGTCCACTGCCTCCAGCTTCATGTGCGTCTGGAAGCCGTGTGGAGATCTCTGCAGGAACACACAGCGCTCAGAACACATCTATTTTAGCTTACTGACAGATTAAAAAATCAGTCTTAGGCCTGGTTTCACAGACAGGGCTTAGACTAAGCCAGGATTCGGCCATAGTTCAATTAGGACATTTAAGTTATTTTTTATAAACGTGCCTTAGATGTGCCTGGTGTGCATCTCGAGACAAAACAAAGGCACTGATATATTTAAAGATCAATCAGTGCAAGTTTCTTTCAGTTGAAACAGCTCAGATTTACACTTAAGTCTGGGACTAAGCTTAAGCCTTGTCTGTGAAACCGGGGGTTAATGTATTTCACAACACTTCAGCATGTTATTCTTATTAAGTGAGGGTCATCTTTTATGATTTTTTACCCAAGCACAGTCTCTGAGAACCTGAAACACTGAACTTCTGGAGACTCCAGGAAGCTTGCAATTCTGGAAAACGTAGACTAAACACATCTATTTTAGCTTACTGACAGATTAAAAAATCAGTCTTAGGCCTGGTTTCACAGACAGGGCTTAGACTAAGCCAGGATTCGGCCATAGTTCAATTAGGACATTTAAGTTATTTTTTATAAACGTGCCTTAGATGTGCCTGGTGTGCATCTCGAGACAAAACAAAGGCACTGATATATTTAAAGATCAATCAGTGCAAGTTTCTTTCAGTTGAAACAGCTCAGATTTACACTTAAGTCTGGGACTAAGCTTAAGCCTTGTCTGTGAAACCGGGGGTTAATGTATTTCACAACACTTCAGCATGTTATTCTTATTAAGTGAGGGTCATTTTTTATGATTTTTTACCCAAGCACAGTCTCTGAGAACCTGAAACACTGCACTTCTGGAGACTCCAGGAAGGTTGCAATTCTGGAAAACGTAGACTAAATGTTTCCTGATGGTTTTAAACCTAATTCTTCACATTAATTCTTAAATCTTTTGCCGTTAACATGTGTCTTTTCTTCGCTGACCCAGTGAGCAGTTCGCTGTCCAATGGTCACGTCTTAACTTTGCATTTTCTGTATTGCATTAGTTTTGAATATTTCTCATGGGGATTGAATAATTTTGGACTTTTCAGTCTTGAGTTAAACCTCTTTTTTGGCTCATTTTATCAGTAAAAGTAAACATGCCTAATAATTCTGCACACCTGATTATAAGGAGTTTTTCACTTCCAGCCTTCATGGACAATTACATATCACTCATAAATGATTAAATACAAAATTAATAGTAGTTATTAAGATTGACGTGGTTTGGAATTGGAATTGATCAGAATATCAACGTGCCTAATAATTATGCATGCGGTGTGTGTATATATATATATATATATATATATATATATATTAAGCTAACTGAGACTTGTTATAACACTTGCATATCATTGGTTTTGATTGCTTCTATTGTCCTCATTTGTAAGTCGCTGTGGATAAAAGCGTCTGCTAAGTGTCTAAATGTAAATGTATTATGAAGCGTGTCTCACCACACTGAAGGCTTGACTGGGAGCCGCAGACACACCTGCGTCCTCCATATATTCCTCCCAGACGAAGTGCTCTGGGTTCGGGTGTCCTACAACAATCACAATCACACAAACTAACCTGTACGTTCCACTCACAGACATAAACACACATTAAACAGGCTTTTACTGCCATGTGTTCACATTTTCAGCTTCGCCATGTGCAACACAACACACACGTGTTTCGCGGTGTAATAAAGAATAAGAAAATGAAAACTGTTATGAAACATTTATGGATGAACCTCAGGAACATATCTTGGTCAAACAATAAGAAATTACAATAAGGTTCTACATTAGTTAACATGAACTAACAATGAAAAATACTTCTACAGCCTTTTATTAATTAATTCTATAGCCTATGATTAATCTTAGCTTAATGTTCATTTCAACATTTAAAAAGTTCATTCAAAAGTTGTGTCTTAATATTATGTAATGGATAACAATTTATAAATATGCTAACAAACATATTGCTCATTGTTAGTTAATGCATTATGTTATATTTATTATATTATTAATTAAATTAGTTGCATATAGTAAAGTTAAACACTTTAAAGTGTGACCCAAAATTATATTATATTATATTAAAGTTTAATGCACTGAGCAAAGTTAACTAATAGGACCTTACTTTAAAGTGTGACCAAACTTATATTCTATTCTATTTTAATGCACTGAGCAAAGTTAACTAATAGGACCTTACTTTAAAGTGTGACCAAAATTCTATTCTATTCTATTCTAAGTTAATGCACTGAGCAAAGTTAACTAAAAGGACCTTAATTTAAAGTGTGACCCAAAATTCTATTCTATTCTAAGTTAATGCACTGAGCAAAGTTAACTAATAGGACCTTACTTTAAAGTGTGACCCAAAATTCTATTCTATTCTAAGTTAATGCACTGAGCAAAGTTAACTAATAGGACCTTACTTTAAAGTGTGACCCAAAATTCTATTATATTATATAATGTATTAGAGCTCTGAAAGCAGCAGTATGTTTGTATCGAATGTGTTTTTTTCTGTGTGCAGTTTATCAATTCTAGTCACATTTACATCTACAGTGCTTTAAACAACACAGATTATTTCAGAAGCAGCTTCATAATAATAAACCGGAAAACAACAGAATCAATTCTGTTATTAAATTCTACATCTGTGCAGGACTGTAAGACGGCTTCATTCATCACTGTGCATTTAATTACAACTCGCACTGGGTAATTAGTGTTTGACAGTTAGTCTGTGGTGCAAATAAATGAGTCTGAATATAAAGAGCCAATACAAGATGTTGACATTAACGCTGAGCGCGAATATAAGTAATTTCAAGTGGAACCGCAAGAGTTTGTCCTTCCAGATAAGCAGCTTTTTGCTGTTTGCTCCTGTAAATAACACGAGGAGTGTTTAATACCCAGCGTCTGTAATGAAATCTCTCAGCTCACCGCACACCATCACATCAGACGTGAACGCCGTGAGCTACAGACGTGTGAATCTCAACACAAGATCTGATCTGAAACGCTCTCGGATCATTCCCATCACATCCACGAGCGGTCCTCTCTAAACGCTTCTGCATGCAGTCATGTGACAGCAGTAACACTGAACGCATGAGGAATATGATTCTCACCCTGAGGAGCTGTGAGCGGCCGGCCGTGATCCTGACACCAGCCCACCGGGTGAATGTAGGGGCTGCTGGAGTCACACCTGAAGAAACACAGAACACACCGTCAACCTGCTGGACTCACTTCATAACACATCATTTTTGTTTTATTTAAATTTGTGTCATTTTCTTGTGTGCATTTGTCATTCTCATTTATTTTTATTTTATTTGAATTTTAGT